TCAGCCTAGTCCTTAGCTGGGGTACAGCAGTGAGCCTAGCCCTTAGCTGGGGTACTGCAGTGAGCCTTGTCCTTAGCTGGGGTACTGTAGAGAGCCAAGCCTTAGGCTAAGGCACCGCGCTATACAAAACCAAATTAATAGTAATACTAAAGTGAGCCAAAGGTACCAAGGTTTTGTGAGCCAGCATGCCCCGTCATTAAGCTTGACACAATGGTTGTTTCAAAAAGAAAGAGAGAGAGAGCGCTGCCAGCACTGGTGCAATGGTTTATGATTTTGAAGAGGAGTTGAGGTTTCAAATCCATGATTTAGGAGGTCAGCTTTTTCTCTCATTGTTGAACACCAATCTGGTTAAAATGAGCCATGGCCGTGATTGCTCTGAAGTTTTTCATGTGCATGGTCACTTTGAGGAGACTTTTCTTCATTGGTAACATTTTGAACTAGAGTATGATAAAGAACAAGTTTCAAATGAGTTGACAATACTTGTGATGTGACCAGCGAGAAAGATCTCAAATGATAATGAACATTGTGGTTAAGGCAAAGAGTGGTTAAGGCTTACGGACAAATGAAATATTCTGCCCTATGTTTCATATAGAGTACACATAAGGGCTGCTCATTGTTGTGGTGAGGCATCTCTCACTTGTAGTAATGTTAACCAGTTCGTGTTTTTTTGTCGTTGTGATTGTCAATGATTTTTAAATGCTTATTAATGATTAGAAGAAAAAAAATATTCAATCTAGTTGCAAATTAATTCATGATATTGGTGTAATTGCCCTTAAATGGATAGAAAAAAATATATTTTCATTGGTTGAATTTCATTGCTATGAAAATTATTTTTTTGGAAAATCATTTGAATATGGAATACACAAAGTATACACATTTCTCCAAGATAAAGTTTCTTTTGTGACTCGCGGACTGCTTCCTAATGGAGTGTTTCCTTAAGAGCAAATTTTGTATTGGGATTATAATTACATTTAATTTTAAATTTAATTTATACTTATTTAAATGTGTTTTGTTTGTTTGTACTGATGAAGGCATGTGCCGAAACGTTTAATTTTGTATAATGTATAATTATTATTAAAGCTAACTGATATTGTTCTCATGACACAATTTGTTCGTGTCTTATTAATCGATTATATTACACATTATTCTAAATGTTTGAAAGAAAATATGGTTCAATAATGAGTTCAATAGCGTGCAAAATAGAATTCCCGATAACAAAGCGAAATGATCTATTTTTTTTTTATATCACGCAACTGCTTTTGACGCATAATATTGTCTTTTCGGAAAATGAAATCGTCTCAACTTTAAGTATGGTGTCAACCATATTCGGTTTAAAAGTGTTTTGGACATCATAATCTCTTATACTTATCACGCTTCTGGTAGACTGCTCGCATTTTAGCACATCAAAATATCAATATCGTTCATAGAAACGGAATAAAAGTTGGGTCGTGAAGCATGATGGAGGGAAGGGGTGAAGCAATAATTGGGATTCTTAACCGTGTGTTACCTTAGTTCATATTTTGTCAGGTAACTTAACATCATGTACCTTAGTCCTTGGACCGTTGGGGCGCCACAGATGACATGCTGAACCATCCTCCTCCATTCCTCTCTGTCTTCTGCACTACGCACGGCATGGCCCAGTGTTAGTCCTGTCCACTCTTTGATGTTATCCTCCCACCTTTGTCTTTGTCTTCCTCTTCTTCTCCCTCCTCTTGTGGTGCCCTGCAATATTTCTTTGGCAAGCCCTTGTTTCCTTGTTACGTGGCCGTATCATTGTAGTTTGGGTTTGTTCACTGTCACCAGTAGGTCATCGTACTCTCCAATAGCATGGCGAACGATTTCTTTCACAATTCAGTAGATGGGAATTTCAGGCATTGCTGCAGCCAATGATGGCGGGCCGTATCTCGTTATTTGTTATTTTAGCATTGTAGCGCCTGTAGATTAGAAACCAGTTCATAAATACATCAACTAATATTTTTGATCCATGAAAAACTCCCGATCCATTTTTGTACTAGGCATAAAATTGTTTAAAACGTCATAGACTCAATGCTATGGTCGGAAGCAATAACAAGGATTTAATCATCGTTCCCAGAAAACCACACAGAAAAAATCTATTGCTAAATCTATATTGAAATGTTTGAATAGTTACTACTAATATAAAGTTTACAAAACGAACGAGAAAAAACACCCGAAAACAGCTTTAGTAAGTTAGTAATTTATTATTTTTAATCTAATATCTTACTACATTTATGCCATTCCCATATTGAGGCGAGCTTACACTCTTGTTACCCTGCGCTGTTTTGTCAATGGCTTAACTTGACTCATCAGGTGGGCATCGGCGTGATTGATTTTGTTTCCCCATTCAAAACTCCTGCACCCCTCCCCTGCATCATGGGCCAGCCGACTAGCGGGAGTTCCACTGTTTTGGTGACCAGGAACAAAAGTCGACAGTTCGAATTGTCCTACCTTGTCTGCAGCTGTTTCACGTCTTACAACCGGGTCTGTAAAGGTTTTCAATCTTTGCGAACATGGCTTTCAGAGTCTCAAACACTTTCTGTAGGTCAGATACGTTGTCAAGGGATAGTGTGTAGCTGAGGGCAGAACCCAGCGCAAGTCCTTCCCTGAGGTGTTTAGATTTGATACCTTCTTCTCAAACCTAGTGGCCATAGTCGGGTACTTTAGGAGTTCCTCAACCCACCGTTATGATTTTGCAGTAATCTCCAGATTCTGCAGCTTAAATATGAGGCGGTCCATCGCGTTACGGTACGCTTGTTGGAGGTCAAAGAACACCGCCACGGAACATTTCCATTATCATCGATTGGACGAGAAGTTTGACTTGGGCATGACGCCTTTGCGTAGGAGGTAAGCTCATATTTTTTTCTAGCCGACAGTAGAGCCTCACAGCCACTCTACCTTCAGCTATTTTCACTGCACACAATGTTAAGGCTATCGGTCAATGGCTGGTCTGGAGATGACCTGGATTTACATCTTTGGGAATGTAAAGCCATTAGAGCTACATTGGTAAACTTGCCCGGGTGAGTTAACCTCTGGTCATAAACTTATCTGGATCTGGTGCTTTCATTCTTTTGCAATTTCCACGGACTTTCTGCAAGTCTTGCATCGTGAAGGGAGAAGTTAAAATGTCTTGTTGCGCACCTACTGGTTGGGCCCGAGATCCCTTTTACCTCTGGCGTTTGATTTTCTGGCTTTCGTCAGTCTCTCTGGTCTTTTTGGTCACTTCCGAGGAGTGATTGTTGAGAGTCTGTTTACACAACTGCCTACAACAATACTTGGACAGCTTCTTAACACTATAGAATTTTACAGATGCCTACACAAAAAGACTTGGAGATCTATCTAAACAAATAGACTTGGACAGCCATCTACACAAATAGACCTGGACAGCCATCTACACAAATAGACTTGGACAGCCATCTACAAGAATAGACTTGGACAGCCATCTACACAAATAGACTTGGACAGCCATCTACACATATAGATGTTTTCAGTTCATATTAATTTCTTCCCCGTTCACATCAACATTTTCATCCATAAAAAGTTTTTTTTCATGTTAAACCAAATTGTGTAAATAATTTATACTTTACCGAATAGTGTGTATATTTTTATATAATTTTCAGGTTATATTATAAAGCATTGAGAGAGAGAGAGGGAGAGAGCTAGAAATGAAACCTTCTGGTTTACTATTTCTTGTGATTGCCATAATCTACATTCCACATGGTAGGTGAATATCAGTTACCAACATGGCAACATTGTAGACACATTATATACACCCTTCATGTAGGCATGTCTGTAACTTTATAAATATTACGGATAAAGTATCTTGTTAATACTTTGTTACATGACTTCATAATGAGTGCTTGATAAGAGTTGTCTCTCAATTTGCAATATATAAATTGACTTAAACTATTAAATAAAATACATGAGCTTCAAAAATACTTTGGAGAAAATTATTTCAAATTGGTTTTCGACACTTTTATCCTTTATTGAAAAAAAAAACTGTAAAAATAAATTTTAAGATTTAGTGCCACTCTTTAAACCAACATGTCCATGTTTTGTCTTGTCTGTCTCACAGATTTAGTGCCACTCTTAGCCCCGGGCTCTTGTCGTCATGTTAGTTATTGACATGTTGATAAAGAGGCGCTCGCCACGAACCCCCTGAAGCGTTACCCGGGGAACAGTACCACCGTGTAGGGGACCTGCGCTGAAAGGCAAAGGTAACGCACGGAGACTGCGTTAGAACGAGCACGATTGCATGGCTTCCCACTAAGTGCAGTCGAATTATTTTATAAAGCGCAGAAACAGGTTGGGACATGATTACAGTTGCCGTATGGATATGAGGTGAAGGTGTGTGGCAACCTTTCACTGGTGATTCTAAATATGCAGTCTTGAGGGTACTGCTCCAAGGCAACCTCTCTTTCCCATCTACGGTGTGAATTAGTCATGCCGTAGAATAACCACATAAACACTAGTAGAGGGCGTCGGTTTTAAACATCTACGCGGTCCCCCCGGGGTGGTAAGGGGGGACTTTAGAGACGTTAAATATCCACCCCAACCCCCCAGAAACCCCGGCCCTGTTGCTGCGTGAGCAGCAATCCGGCTGGCCAGGTGTTTCTTCTCTGGGGCTGCCACGCTCAGCGGCCAATCGAGTGGAGGTCGGGCGTGGCGGTCTTGGGGGCGGAATGTCCCTGGCGTGCCGCTTCGCGGCCCGATCGGAATAAAGACCACTGAGGGAGTGGTTGACGGCCGATTTGGTTGGCGGGGTGGTGCGTTGGGGAGGACCATATGAGCTTCGGCTCGGTGTTCGCTGATTTTCTTAAGTTAGTTAGTTAGTGCCACTCTTCAATGAGTAATCGCTTCAGTTCCGTCTGATAGCTACTCGCTGGGCACGCCTCTGATTACGCTACAAACAAGCCTTGTTATGTTCATAGATTAATTCACTAGTATAAAGATTAACTTCCTTTACTAGTATTACAGTGCTTTTTCATCCCACAGAGAGGAGTTGCGTATACATCTATTTCACTGGATTTGACGGCAACTCTAGAGCTCATAAAGATTGCTTTACTAAACCTGATGGTGAAATGATCATGTTTCTGGACCAGTCAGAAAATTTTGACAATCTCCCCAGCCACATCGTATGTCAGTACAAATGTCCATATTTCGTGGGTAACTCTCAGGTCGTTATAAAAGGACCAAAAGATGGAAGGTGGATGGTGGTAAGTTGGATGGACATTATCTTAAAAACGAAAATGACAAACACACACGGCGCGTTAAGGTGATCTTTTAAAAAAGTTAGTAACTTTAAGGTGATCTGTTAAAGAAGTTAGTAACTTTAAGGTGATCTGTTAAAGAAGTTAGTAACTTTAAGGTTATCTGTTAAAGAAGTTAGCAACTTTAAGGTGATCTGTTAAAGAAGTTGGCAACTTTAAGGTGATCTGTTAAAGAAGTTAGCAACTTTAAGGTGATCTGTTAAAGAAGTTAGTAACTTTAAGGTGATCTGTTAAAGAAGTTAGCAACTTTAAGGTGATCTGTTAAAGAAGTTAGTAACTTTAGGGTGATCTGTTAAAGAAGTTAGCAACTTTATGGTGATCTGTTAAAGAAGTTAGCAACTTTAAGGTGATCTGTTAAAGAAGTTAGTAACTTTAAGGTGATCTGTTAAAGAAGTTAGCAACTTTAAGGTGATCTGTTAAAGAAGTTAGTAACTTTAAGGTGATCTGTTAAAGAAGTTAGTAACTTTAAGGTGATCTGTTAAAGAAGTTAGCAACTTTAAGGTGATCTGTTAAAGAAGTTAGTAACTTTAAGGTGATCTGTTAAAGAAGTTAGCAACTTTAAGGTGATCTGTTAAAGAAGTTAGTAACTTTAAGGTGATCTGTTAAAGAAGTTAGCAACTTTAAGGTGATCTGTTAAAGAAGTTAGTAACTTTAAGGTGATCTGTTAAAGAAGTTAGTAACAAGAACAAGCGCTTCTGGAGCTATGTGAAACACCAAAAGTCCTCAAACGCTGGAGTTTCCCCCTTGAGGTGGGATGGCCAATTGACATCTGACCCAAAAGCACAGGCGGAGATACTCAATCAGCAGTTCCAGTCGGTCTTTGGTGACGGTAGAGAGTACTCTGAGACTGAGTTCCTTCTGAAAACCAAAATGATGAACAGAGCCTATCCTATCATGGGAGATATCCAGATATCAGAACAAGGTGTGTTTGCCCTCCTCAATACCATTAATCCTTACAAAGCATGTGGTCCTGACAACATTAAACCACGAGTGCTCAAAGAATTAGCCAAAGAAATCGCTCCTGCACTGACAATCCTCTTCCAATCGTCACTATGCACAGGAAATGTTCCAGCAGACTGGAGAACAGCGCATGTCACTCCAATTTACAAGAAAGGGGAGCATTCCGACCCTGCCAACTATCGTCCGATATCCCTCACTAGCGTCGTCTGCAAACTGTTGGAGCACATAATCGTAAGCTCTGTCATGAAGCATCTTGAAAGCCAAAATATACTCAATGACTGTCAACATGGCTTCCGAGTCAATAGGTCATGTGAGACCCAGCTTCTCGAATTTGTAGAAGACTTGATGACCAATCTGGAGAACCACAAGCAGACTGACGTGCTAGTAATGGACTTCGCAAAAGCATTTGACCGGGTGAATCATAGTTTGCTTCTACACAAACTCCAGATATATGGGATTCAAGGCACCACTAAAACATGGATCTCTAGCTTCCTCAGCCACCGACGCCAAGCAGTAGTGGTGGGCGGTACAAGCTCCTCCTTTGTCAATGTGAAGTCAGGGGTCCCCCAGGGATCAGTCCTGGGCCCCTGTTTGTTCCTAGCATACATTAATGACCTACCGGAGAAACTGACATCACAGGCAAGACTGTTTGCAGATGACACAGCAGTGTATAGGACGATCGCCAACAGATCTGACCAGGACCAGCTACAACAGGATCTCAATCTGTTAGCTGAGTGGGAGATGAGCTGGGACATGGAATTTCACCCTGCCAAGTGCCAGACACTATCAATCTCTAGAAGTTGTACTCCTCTACACTACCAATACAAACTGCACGGCCATATTCTTGAGCAAGTTTCCTCCGTAAAGTACCTGGGTGTTACCATTCAAAGAGAGGTCCGATGGGATGAACATATTAACAATGTATGTAACCAAGCAAACAAGACCCTAGGGTTCTTAAGGCGAAATCTAAAGATTGGCAACTCCTGTGTGAAAGAAAGAGCATATAAAGCCTTTATCCGTCCGATTTTAGATTATGCATCTTCAGTCTGGGACCCATTTACCCAGAAGAGCATTGACAGGTTGGAGGCGGTCCAGCGACGAGCAGCACGCTTTGTCCTAAACCGCTACAGGAATACCTCAAGTGTTGGCAGCATGCTAGAAACACTAGGCTGGTCACCATTGGAGAAACGACGACGACAATCCAGGCTCTCCATGATGTACAAGATAAATAATGGGCTGGTCCACTGTTCCAGTATTAAACAGAAACTCGTACCTCTCCCCCATAGACAGCGACGAGGCCATGACAGGCAATTCAGGCTCATACCAGCAAGAAGCCAGTATAGGAGCTGCTCATTCCTGCCCAAGACAATCAGGGACTGGAACAATCTTTCAAAAGGAACGGTTGAGGCGACAACACTAGACACATTTGTGTCTATTGCCTCAAGCCTTCAAACCCCCAGTGCATGATTCCCTCACAAAGTGGCACTGGAAATCTGTGAAATTTCCTCATCAACACCAGGAACAGAAACATTGCAAATCCCATCTACATGCATAGGAGCCAAAATGATCAATAAATTGATCGTGGGCCCTTAAGATATAGAAGAAGAAGAACTTTAAGGTGATCTGTTAAAGAAGTTAACAACTTTAAGGTGATCTGTTAAAGAAGTTAGCAACTTTAAGGTGATCTGTTAAAGAAGTTAGTAACTTTAAGGTGATCTGTTAAAGAAGTTAGTAACTTTAAGGTGATCTGTTAAAGAAGTTAGCAACTTTAAGGTGATCTGTTAAAGAAGTTATTAACTTTAAGGTGATCTGTTAAAGAAGTTAGTAACTTTAAGGTTATCTTTTAAAGAAGTTAGCAACTTTAAGGTGATCTGTTAAAGAAGTTAGTAACTTTAAGGTGATCTGTTAAAGAAGTTTTTTACTTTAAGGTGAGCTGTTAAAGAAGTTAGCAACTTTAAGGTGATCTGTTAAAGAAGTTAACAACTTTAAGGTGAGCTGTTAAAGAAGTTAGCAACTTTAAGGTGAGCTGTTAAAGAAGTTAGTAACTTAAGGTGAGCTGTTAAAGAAGTTAGTAACTTTAAGGTGATCTGTTAAAGAAGTTAGCAACTTTAAGGTGAGCTGTTAAAGAAGTTAGCAACTTTAAGGTGAGCTGTTAAAGAAGTTAGCAACTTTAAGGTGATCTGTTAAAGAAGTTAGCAACTTTAAGGTGAGCTGTTAAAGAAGTTAGGAACTTTAAGGTGAGCTGTTAAAGAAGTTAGCAACTTTAAGGTGAGCTGTTAAAGAAGTTAGCAACTTTAAGGTGAGCTGTTAAAGAAGTTAGCAACTTTAAGGTGAGCTGTTAAAGAAGTTAGCAAATTTAAGGTGATCTGTTAAAGAAGTTAGCAACTTTAAGGTGAGCTGTTAAAGAAGTTAGCAACTTTAAGGTGATCTGTTAAAGAAGTTAGCAACTTTAAGGTGATCTGTTAAAGAAGTTAGCAACTTTAAGGTGATCTGTTAAAGAAGTTAGTAACTTTAAGGTGATCTGTTAAAGAAGTTAGCAACTTTAAGGTGATCTGTTAAAGAAGTTAGTAACTTTAAGGTGAGCTGTTAAAGAAGTTAACAACTTTAAGGTGAGCTGTTAAAGAAGTTAGCAACTTTAAGGTGAGCTGTTAAAGAAGTTAGTAACTTTAAGGTGAGCTGTTAAAGAAGTTAGTAACTTTAAGGTGATCTGTTAAAGAAGTTAGTAACTTTAAGGTAATCTGTTAAAGAAGTTAGCAATTTAAGGTGATCTGTTAAAGAAGTTAGCAACTTTAAGGTGATCTGTTAAAGAAGTTAGTAACTTTAAGGTGAGCTGTTAAAGAAGTTAGCAACTTTAAGGTGAGCTGTTAAAGAAGTTGGCAACTTTAAGGTGAGCTGTTAAAGAAGTTAGCAACTTTAAGGTGATCTGTTAAAGAAGTTAGCAACTTTAAGGTGATCTGTTAAAGAAGTTAGCAACTTTAAGGTGATCTGTTAAAGAAGCTAGTAACTTTAAGGTGAGCTGTTAAAGAAGCTAGTAACTTTAAGGTGAGCTGTTAAAGAAGTTAGCAACTTTAAGGTGATCTGTTAAAGAAGTTAGCAACTTTAAGGTGATCTGTTAAAGAAGTTATTAACTTTAAGGTGATCTGTTAAAGAAGTTAGTAACTTTGAGGTTATCTGTTAAAGAAGTTAGCAACTTTAAGGTGATCTGTTAAAGAAGTTAGTAACTTTAAGGTGATCTGTAAAAGAAGTTAACAACTTTAAGGTGAGCTGTTAAAGAAGTTAGTAACTTTAAGGTGAGCTGTTAAAGAAGTTAGTAACTTTAAGGTGAGCTGTTAAAGAAGTTAGTAACTTAAGGTGAGCTGTTAAAGAAGTTAGCAACTTTCAGGTGAGCTGTTAAAGAAGTTAGCAACTTTAAGGTGAGCTGAGCATTTCTACTAACATTAAGTTGAACACAATAGAACAACGGGTCATTAAGTTGAACACAATAGAACAACGGGTGGGGGTGGGGAAGGGGTGTTTCCGCTTTGTATTTAACCTTGAAATTATTCGTGACCCCATAGGGCAACTTATTGATGGGCATCTGACCATAGGGCAACTTATTGATGGGCATCTGACCATAGGGCAACTTATTGATGGGCATCTGACCATAGGGCAACTTATTGATGGGCATCTGAGAAATATTGAGCCTTGACCTGGTGTAAATAAGGAGGAGATTTTTTAAAAAAAGATAAAAATAGTCCAAAATTACTCCTGAACGGTTATTATCAATTTGAAAACAGAAGGGATGCGTATAATCGAATGTACAATGTGAGCTCATGGGGTCGGTGAATAAGTGAAGATATGTATTAAAAATAGCTTTTAAATATATTTCTAAAAGTATAATCAGTGAAAGGTAACAAGGGCGTATTTTTAATAAATTCACCTGGGAGAATTCTCAAACGTGCGTGCCCCCTAACACCCAACAATTGATAATTTATTTAATTGTAAGTCTTCATATGAGCCCAAAAAAAATGTCAAATTTGGATGATAGAAAGGTTGTCAAACATAGGTGATGGTAAACAATGTCAAATATATGTGATAAGACAGTATGTCAAGTATATGTGAGAATAAAAAAATGTAAAACATAGGTTAAAATAAAGAAAGGGAATCACATTTTCAAGGAAACTCATTGAAGCGACGCTCTTCCCGTATTGTCCTGTCGTTTTATTTCCCACTCCCTCATAACTTGTTCCTGTTATTTCCTTAGCACAACTTGAATGCCATCATTATTTAATATTATTTTATTTACTATTTGAACTCCCACATAAAAGGTAAAAATATAAAATAAGTTTTAATTACGAGTAAATTTATTCATAAATTATACTCATTGAAATATTTATAAGATAAGATTCTTTTATTGATCCAAAAAACGGAAATGATTTTCGATTGCATCATACATTTTCAACACAGAAATAAAAAAATTTGAACGCAAGATTTTTATAATAAATCATCTCAAACAGCCATTCAGTGAGTTCTCTTAGCCAAATCGGGGACTTATTAGTTCTCATGAAGATGTGTGACTTCAGAGGGACCATGCTGGTAAATTCGTACAAATTGGGGAAACAAAAGAATTTTTATATCTTTCGGTGCTCGGCCTGATGGCAAGAATTCATTCCGAAGTCGCCCGATGTTATGTATCTGTGATGAAGAGGATGGGGCGTATCATCCAAAATGTGTTTAGTTTTACAAAAACATCTTTCTTCAAATAGTTTTTCAAGTGAAGGATGTTTAGTTTGTGTTATGTTCCTAGCTTTCTTGATTAATCGGTTTATGCGGTGTTTAATATCAAACGTTGAATTCCCACACCAGCAGGTAACACTGAAATTAAGTAGGCTATAGCTAATGCCTTTTATCAGTTGTAAATTGGTTCGGTTTCCGTACAGTAAAGAAAGTTCACCATCGTTGGTTTTAAGAATCCCAATTTATTTTGAGAAATGCAAATTTTGTTTGACACGAATATTGAGCACAAACGTGCACGCCATGCCGTGCACTTGCGAATATTGAGCACAAACGTGCACGCCATGCCGTGCACTTGGGGGAATTCTACTTGCGGCGCTACTGAAGAGAACTTAAACGCAGTAAACTTGTCGTTTTCTTATATTCTAGAAATTTTGATACTCATTTGAAGATACTATCTAGGGTAAGTATTCTTACCCTAACCACCCACATACAAGTGTACACACTATTCCCTTCCCTTGATGTGCCATTAAAGCGAAAGTGGTCAATTTTAAATCAAATTCATTCATTCATTCTTAGGAGCATTGTGTGCTTCCTAGTGCGAAATGTTGTTGGTCCGTCGAAAATCGACTATGGCCATCGAGTCGTCCGGTGTTGAATGACTGATGACTGGCGCGGGTGACTTTTGTTTATAGTGAGGAGGAGTTGCCAGAGCGTCAACCACACATTCTCTACCGGGTCCACCTATGTCCAGTGGCAGGACTAGGTCAGGACGACCAGGGATGGGTACAGATGCAGGAGTTAGATTGTTTCATCGTATGCGACTTACGGGACTACATGATCTCAGGTTTTGAATTCAGAGTTTCCTTCTCTTAGATGAGTTGCCGCCAAGGTTAACAAGTACCATCCAGCCGGGTTGCTTGTTTTTGCTTGACTGGCCTTTTGCTGGAATTGGCAAAATAAAAGTATCCAGCCCCCCTCCACCAGAAGTTTTTAAAAAAAATAAATATGAATAAAATCATTTGTATCAGTAAACCCTGCTGTCTGTGGCCCTTTCCCACCATGGGTCTTGTCTGCTAGTAGTCGACCAATGTGAAAAGATGCCTCTGGCGGTCGTGTTGTATGCCCTTTATTCCTAAATAAGTCATTGGTACTTCTGGCCCCGGCTTTCTCACTGCCACTAACGTTGACGTGACCTGGGATCTAGGTTGCTAAAGAACCGCATACGGCTCGCCTAGGTTCTTAAAGAACCACATACGGCTCGCCTAGGTTCTTAAAGAACCACATACGGCTCGCCTAGGTTGTTAAAGAACCGCATACGGCTCGCCTAGGTTCTTAAAGAACCACATACGGCTCGCCTAGGTTCTTAAAGAACCACATACGGCTCGCCTAGGTTCTTAAAGAACCACATACTGCTCGCGAGCCGTGATTTGCTGCCCTAGCTTTTAAAAAAAATAAAAAATTATTACATATAATAGAACCCATAATTATTTGCCTCAAGTAGCTTCCTGCCTGTATATGTAAGGTGACGGCTGTGAGTCAGAGATTAGACTTCTCTGAGAAAAATTTTGTTCATCTAAAACCCAACTACAATATGGCTACTCACACACATTACGTGTATTTTTTTTTATGAAACGTAATTTTCTTTTCAAAACTTTCTTTAATTTTTATCTTAATTGTGTTCCGCGGTGATCACTTCGTTGATTTCCTTGATTGCATGCATGTTGACAGGGGCATTCAACACCATTGAGATCGTGTGGCACCTCATGGAATCCTCATGGAACACCTGTGAATAAAGGTCTTTACTGTTATATGGTTTCAAAAGGAGTGTTTATAATTCATTTGAATCCGCCCGTGTTTTATACTGTGAGGAATTGCAATCTAAGAGTCTTCTTGGCTGATGTTGCAACAATTGGAGAATGGCCGGCTATTGTTGATTATCATGGAATGAAGGGAGTGACAGATGAGCTTCGCTTACAGAAGTTTAGAGGTAACTGTTAAGACCATTTGTTGATTGTCTTTACATATGCATATATTTATTTAATTTAAAGAGTTTTAATACATGTTTGTAAAGTTTCGTCCACTAGACATTGTAATTTTATAATTGTAATCTGATTTAAGTTTTTATATTAAGTTTATTTTGGCATCAAACTTTCACTTAATGGAAGGGGTAATAAGGGGAGAGACTGCAATCAGGTTAGTACAAAATAAAATGAGTAAAACAGAGTAGGGTTAAACCTGAAAAAATACACGCAACAAAACAGCGAACGTGTCGGCAGAAAGCCTTCGTCAGCGAACAAAACAACAGAAAAAACGGTATAAAAATAAGAAATAGCACTTAGCTGGAAAGTAGTATCTGTGGGCAGCAATAGAAGTGTGGCAGAAGGAAAATGAGTGAGAGTTTAAATATGCAGCGACGAAAAAAAGGGGGGAGAAAAATGTTCACTGTGATAGGTCCAGTTTGTATAAATATTTGATCACATTTTAAGAAAAAAAATAATCTTCTTATTTCATTTAAACAGATGAACTAACGTATAACAGAACGTCTGATTATTTGTGTGAAAAATTTCATACCCCTCTGAAATATGCATCCGTGAATAGCGTAGCTGACAAATGGTCCCGAACAGGTATCAACACATTCTATTCTTTACACATTTAATCACATATATTATAAATAAGTATTAGGTAACATTTTACACATGAATATAGTTTGATTTATTTATAGCGTACTGGATTGTGGATGTTCCTTTCAATTCATGATAATTTATAACATTCGCTATAACATGTAACTCATTGACATATGAAGACACACACATACAAACCCACACAGTCGCACAATGACAGTTTGTCCACCACCACATTTGGTTTAAGGACATTCGTTACGTCAGCAGCTGTAATGTTGACATACACTTAAAGTGATCCCGTAAATAATATGCGACTGTTGCCTGAGCTGTTTCTTGGCCTGAGCTGTTTCTTGGCCTGAGCTGTTTCTTGGCCTGAGCTGTTTCTTGGCCTAGCGATTGTTGGATGTTGTCAATAGTGAATAAGGAACGTTTATTTCAGAGTAAGAAAATGTGGTGTTGGTTGGTTGTTTGCTTGTTGAGGTGTGCTCAATGTTGTTAGTCTGTTTGTTGGTTGTTTGCTTGTTGAGGTGTGCTCAATGTTGTTAGTCTGTTGTTTGTTTGCTTGTTGAGGTGTGCTCAATGTTGTTAGTTTTTTTGTTGTTTGTTTACTTGTTTGTTGTTTCTTTGTATGTTTGTTGTTGTTGGTTTGTATATTTGTTGCTGTTTGTTTTTTGTATATATGTTATGTGTTTGTTGTTGGTGTATAAAATAATACCAACTTAGTCGAAAAAAAATTGTCATAACTATATTAATTAAATTGAGCTGTTTTTAAAAAAAAATTGTGTGTTCTGAATAATTGATGAAGGGATTAAATATCTAGGACATGTTAAGTAATGTTGATTCTTTCACTGATTACAAGACAAGACATGGCCGATGTTGTACAAACGTCATACTCAACAAAAAAAAGTTGTTTAGGGATAAAGGAAGTCTGTATAAGAATTGTTACATCACTGAATATCTGTTACCCTATCCCACTATGTACTTTCATGCCCCCCCCCAAAATCCAAAAAAACCCCCCCCCCCTTTACCCGTCAAAAAAAAAAAAAATTAACACCTACACACAGAGGTTTAAGATATGAATAGCGGTATTCACAAAACCAACAAAGATTTATTCATTTTTGAGCATCTATTTTTAGATGTACTTCTGATGTTCTGCGGAGTTGCCATGGCCAATGGAGTTCTTTCCGTCTAGAACACAATCAAAGGAAGTGATGTGATTGCCAACAACATCAGGTGTTGACAACATCAAACATACAACACGTAACACGTGATTTTGTCAAGCAGGAACATCATATCTAATACAAATTATTTCACTAGAAACCACAAGCAAGTCTTGCGATTTTATTAATTTTATACCATGATATAATAATAATGTTTGTCTTGTGAGAGGGCGACTTGAATAACTTGATAAAATTTCTGTTAAATGATTGCTATCAGTCGTAGTTGATGAACATTCTCATTCTGCCACTAGTGTTTAAACAAACACACTTCATACACTGATTAGTTCGATTGTAAATTTATAAATACTTTTAAATGCAATTTTAGAAATATAAACTCTTCACATAACGGGATCAGTCAATATCGTGGTTGTCTATATACAATGTTTATCGCCCGCTTAATAAAGCCAAAGATCTCAACATTTTTTAGTTTAAGATTAAATCATCTATTTAAATTTGTTGAATGCATCAGTTATGTTAATTAGACTACAAATAAAACCGGGGTCATTTAACGAAGGCTTCTATACCAGGGGTTCTCAATGCTATTTTAAAATATTGTTGGGATAGGAGCATTATGTGACAGATATGCTTGATATCCCTGTCAGTTTTCCCACTCAGCAGTTCAGATGCCCTACAAGTGTGGTGCACATCAACTGAGGTGCACATCAAGTGTGGTGCACATCAACTGAGGGGCACATCCAGAGTGGAGCCCATTAACTGAGGTCCATATCAAGTGTGGTGCACATCAACTGAGGGGCACAATCAGAGTGGAGGCCATTAACTGAGGTCCACATCAAATGTGGTATCCATGAACTGAGGCGCACATCAAGTGTGGTGCACATCAACTGAGGGGCACAATCAGAGTGGAGGCCATTAACTGAGGTCCACATCAAATGTGGTATCCATGAACTGAGGCGCACATCAAGTGTGGTGCACATCAACTGAGGCGCCCATCAAGTGTGGTTCATATCTGATGAGAAGCCCCTGACTGAACTTGAGATAAACATTTATTATTTAGGTTTGTTTTGCAATCAGTTCAGTAGGGCTTCACTAGGTGCCCATTAGTTAAATGCCCACCAGGTGCATACAATGTGCACATCAGGTGCCCATTAATTAGGTGTCCGTCAGTTTGGTTTCATTTAGGTGCACATTAGGTGTCTTTTAGTTAGGTGTCCGAGAGATGCCCATCAGGTGCCCATTAGTAATGTGTCCACCAGGTGCCCATCAGTTAATGTGCCCAGAAGTTGTTTGCCGTTAAGTTGAGATATTTAGTTGATAGCCAAATACTGTTCTTAATTATGAACCAGCCATTACACTTGACTTATGCCGACATCAATGTCGTTGTCATAACAAAACATTAGTTGATGTTTGATATGATCATGACTGGTTTAAAGTAACACTGGTTTTATCAAACGCGTATTGTTAAATTACATAACTTAGAATTTTCTTAAAGGAAAACCTTGTTGATCAGGATAAGAAATAATAAACATCCTTTCAATTTAAAGTTGAAATCCTGTCATATGATCTTTCAATGATCTTAATATTCATACTTTAAATTTTGATTTTGATGCTTTAAGATTAATGCTTCATATTGAAACTTTATATTGATGTTTTATATTGATGCTTTATACTGTTGCGATGTATTGTTGATTAACATTCTTCCTTTATTTTGTTGCTTTGTTTTTCATTTTCCAATAATTTAAATATTCTGAATGATTAGCTTTTTTTCAATAATGTTCAATAAAAGTCAGTGGTTCCCAAACTGTATTTATTATTGTCACCCTTGCTGAATTCATGTTTCACTAAGGTGCCGTATGTCAAATTTTTAATTAATAAACTACTAAAGAGCAACACCCATTGACAGAAACATTGCATTGTTGACTTGTATAGAGCAAAACGCATTGACAGAAACATTACGTTATTGACTAGCATGGAGCAAAAAGGCATTGACAGAAACATTACATTTTACTTGCCATAAACATCCAATGGCGTGAGACTAGAAACGGGTGACCACATGACACTTCGAAATGCTGAGGGGAGCAGAAATAATTAGTTGATAAGAGAACCTAGTCAATCTATTCTGAACACAGTAAAACACATTTTTAAGGTAATTTACAAGACTATTTGACATCGTTAAGGATGAGGCAATATTAATTTCCTGTAGTAGTTTTTAAGGAGGTTAGTTGTAATAATCCTTGAGCTCAGTGATTTCTGGTTTGGGCTGTGGGGGGTTGGGTAGGGCTCCAGACAGCACGGGGCGACAGCTCTCAGTCGGCTGACAGCACAGAGAAGCAGCACTGCATGACACCATGAGTTAACTTCACTTTGATAAGATAACCAAATAGTGCTCCCCACCCCACCCCCCTCGATGTGCCACCCCCACTGAACTAAATTAATATTCAAATGCCCCATACCATTTTACAATGCAGATTAATTTCACCAATTTTTTAAAATAAAACTAAAGGAAATATTTCGCCTCAAACGTACTTGAGAAATTTTGGTGAATGTAATGTAGCGCAGTTTTTAAAATGAAATTGTTCCATCTAGTAGCGTTAATGAACTGACATGTTAACACAGATAATTATATATTTTTATGTTTACAGCATAAATACATAGTACATGAATAACTGTAAGGTTTAGAATCGAATAACGTAACTTCGGACAAAATAGTCGAATAGTCGAACACATCAAATCTAGAGATTTCTCATTGGTTTAAAAGTTTTACTAATGTGAATAGGCGAACATTTGCATCTGTAAAAAAAAAATATCATTTTTAAAAATATAATTTTACGAGTCAGTACTTAGTGACTTAATGTGTATGACTTGCGCTGTTGGAGCAGTGGACTTGCGCCAGGGAGAGACGTCATAACAAACACTACCCAATATTAATGCATTTTACCACATTTAATTTAATGAAATCGGATCATTCAACTTTTAATGTTTTTTTGCTTTAATCCTTAATCATCATGACATAAATACATCAATTTATTTTGATTGTTTTTTGTTATTTTTAAAAATGAAGCGTCCGTGGATACCACTTCATAAATTCATAAACTAATAATTTTAAGTTTTTGGCTGCACCTATAGGTACCTGGGTATTTATAGTGACAAATAACTATTTGGACCCGGAGTGGCTCCCTATAGATTAAATGGCTTCGGAGCCGGGTGTGATAACAATAATAGTATGAGAATTTTTTTTTAAAAAGTGTTTTTTCTCCTTATTTCATAGATTTATAGTTTTATTCTTTTTGGTTGTTTTTATTTCTTATTGCAGGTAGTTGTTTTTTCTTTCTAATTTTATTTTTTTGTTTAAGCCATTTTCGTAGAGGATTTTTTTTTAAAAATATAGTAATCAAGATGATTTAGATACATTTATTGTTTTCATTTGAATTTTAGAAAAGTAATCATATTAATTTAATTATTAATGGACCACGTTATAGAATTTCACCAACAACAGAGAGCGACCAATGTCCAAGCGTTGGTTGATGTGTTACATGTCCTCATAATGAGTAGATCTTGGAAACGTTACGAGCGGACCAGGGATTATGTTGCGATATGTTAACTAGAGCGTTGTGCTACCAACTACCACTAAATTTAAAAAAAAAAAAAAAAACTCTTCAGCTCGCCGAAGATGCCACCCCTCATTATATATATTTTTTTTAAAGTGCCCTGGGCGAATGCACCCCCTGATATTTGGGTCCTTTGCGAGTACCACCTTTACATGGCTGTGCATGGATCCAGTGGGCTAGAAAGAAATATCAGACAAAGTAGATAGATTTATAAAATAAAAATAAAAAATATTTAAATCTAAATTTATCCTATTGGGCAACTTTTATAACGTATCTTTGAAGACAGAAGAGTTCTCCTTGTTTTCCCACAATGGCGTCGTAAATGACAAAAGAATCATGAAATGTACATTTTTAAAAAAAAAATCTTGTACTATTTTGTTAAATGGTTATTGTATTCAAACAAAAAGACGCAATTTTAAGCTTTTAGTTCCATCAGGTAAAGAGGAAGTTTTAATTTTATGTCACTAGAAATAATTATTCGCGCTTAAATTTCATTGCCTTAATTTAAGGAACTCTTTAGTTATTAGTTCCTTGAATTTTGCATGTTTTTCATGAGATTTCTAGTGACCTTAAAAAAGAGTCAATAACTTTTAGAATCCTTGTCTAAAATTCATGATGTTAATATATTATTGTGGGGAAATGCATTAGGTTTCTAAAAATATTTGTTTTCAAACACATAGTGTCAATACTTAGAAGTTGTGAAAAAAAAAAATGCTTTTTTTTTAAAAATGAAAATCAAAATGTGTAAAAAAAAAAAATTGGTGATCACATGCAAAGAAGAAAAAAAAACAAACCACATAAAATTATTTAATAAAATCTGTTTATTTAGAAAGCAAATTCATTTTCCTATATTATATTCATGATTTAGAACATTTCATGAGAATTTGACCAAAATATAAATTATTTTGTAAAATGTGTCAAAAAGGGGAAATAATTTTAAAAAAATAAAAATCACCACCCCACCAAGTATTCACAAAAATTTCAGGTTATTATTATTTTACCTTTTAAAAAATACTTCAAGATTTTAAAAAATAATAGAGATTTTAAACTTCATGGTACTGTTAGTCAGAAAGTTTCTTGTTTTTTTAACAAAGATAAATTTACCATGCGCTATATTTGATTTATAATTTTATTTTCTTAGCATTCCTAATTTATAGCACTAGCACACTGACAATTGCTTTTAAAATCTATGCAATCAGGAATTATTGCATTTAGATTGTATTTGGTGTTATTTACATTTGCAGCACTTGGAACTGCATCACTTTCAGTAAATCATCAAATGCTAAAATAATTTCCTCGTTGAAGTCAGTTGAGAATAAAATGTCAGGTAGCTTCAGTTCATCTATATAATAGTTTTCTTTTGAACAATCCTGAAGAGATTATAGCTGGCATTATCAACAAAATGGAAAAGGGGATTAGTCCAGTGCTGTTCTCTTTACTTAGAATGATATATTCATTTATCAACTGGTCAACACCACACAGGTCACAGGAATGAATTGTATGATTTCAAAATCTGATTTGACAATATTTGGTTTTTCTCCCCAATAATTGCCTAGAAAGACACCATCAGTTTTGGTTTTGTTCACAAAAGAAAATCCATTTGCTGTCATATTATTTGAAATAAGTGAGGCTTGTCTAATTTTCTCTCCACTGAACATAGTATAAATTATTATCCATCACATCATATCACATTGCTTTGGTTTTTATCTTTATTTACTTCTGATAAAGTCTGACAAGTTCACTTTGCATAGTTTGTCCTCATTGTCTGTTTCAATATTATCAACTTTGAAGAATGTCTTATTTGAATAAATCTGTTTTGGGGAATACAGCATGAGCCTACAATTCATGGTAGTAGTGAAACATTGTTGCAGTTGACGAGTATTTTTGTACACTGAGGACTTGTACAGTTGACATGCACATTAGTAGTCCTAAAAATGTGTAAAAGTGATATGTTGTTGAGATATCAACAAACCACAGTTGATAGATGGTTTAGAAGGTCCCATGGTAGTTGAATAGGTGTATTTTACAAATGTTTCAACCAAATTCAGTGTGAAACATATCTTGAAAATCCTTAGACTTTATGGTGTAGATTGTATCCATGTTATGTTGACATTTCTTCCCACACATGTCAGCCTGTCTTTCTGGCTGGGGGAAACTTAGGAGTGGGAACCAGTGGGTCATCATCTCGAACCTCATACAAGCCTAGCCTATGAATGTAAAAGAAGAACTAATATTATAGACCTATATGATGCAACTATTAGGGATGCAATGAATATAAAATATATACTTACTTAAATTTCCAGTTTTTAATACTTCAATTACTGTCTAAAAATCATTATGACAAAAAAGATTATTGTCAGATAATTCGTTTTTTATAACACACATCGATGTCAAATTTCATGATCTTTAGGATAAAATATGTCATAATAATTAGTGCCGACGGCATTGTTTACATTCCCTAGCAACAGCTTCTAAGCATAACGTCTTCTAAAATTATTTATGTAATAAAAGAATCGCAAATTATACAATGATTTTATCTGCGTAGATTCATTTTAAAATGGGTAGTAAATACTTCAAATATGATTAAAAATACAATTTAAACCAATAAAATAAAAATAAAATTAAAAAATCTATAAAAAATATAGAATGACGAAACGCTCGATTACTAACCTTCTAGTTTTAGTGACTATAATGGGCTATAAAGGCAGATTCTCATCAAAATCTGAATCAAAGTCACTAAATTCAGGTTCCCAACTATCTTGCCCAGATGTTTCAGATAAAATTTGATCAATATTTTCGTCTGTAGTATTCATTATTTAAAATTTTGGGCTGCTGAGTCGACTAGCGTCTTGCCCAAATTTTCCCAAATGGCGATAACGCTTCGGCATGTCATGTGAACCTCGAATTTGCTAAAAAACATCAATTATTAT